AGGACTATTCTTTACCCTGACATGACATAACCACGCAGTCTCAGTAAGCATCATTCTTGATGGCTAAACCCCTTTTGTTACAGCAACTATCTAAGTAAATGAATACAAAATATTTCTTGAAGTAAATATAATACATTCCCACACTTCCTGTTATTATGCCAGTGAAATTCCCCACCTACAACAGGACTACCAAAATCCCCACATCTTGCATTTTCACTTCTTAACAAGTGATGCCTCTCATACAAAACACCCAACTCTCTCTGTGTTCCCCCCAGTCCTTCATTTCCGGAGTTTATAACTTCCTTGTCTCTACCTTTCGCTTTGAAGATTGATGTCATATATCCTTCCATCTGGTTAACATTGGCTCTCTTTCTACTGGCCTCATCCTCATTTTCTCTAAGATGGTGTACTGAAACTCAGGAAATTTTCTCAAATTGTATTTAAATTTGAAATTGCTGTTTCCAGTTTTGGGCCTGAAGACTGGCTTTTATGACCAGAAACTTGCTTGTTTTTCCACGTGTATTTCCTGAGGAAGATAGTTTTTACACCTCTACTTACAATCTTGGTCTAATATAATGAGAAGCATATTAAAAATATGCTATTGGAAAGTTTGGTGTTTTGTTTGTAGCAATGGTAACTATTCTTCTACAGAGAATTAGTCCAAAATACCATTAGTTGAAACTGTTTTCAGATAGCTTGCAAAGTAGAATACTGATGTCAGTGGAAAGTGTTGACAATGTCTTAATGTCAGACACACATCATCACCATGGCAGAAATTTTCTATTCAGCCTTTGTACATTGAGTATTACTCTGATCATGTTCGCATTCAGTTTCTGTTATGAAATTTATTGCCATGTCAAGGACTCTCCCGTGGGGTGGGGTAACAGGGGACTGCCTGTTGCATGGAGAAATGTCCCTCTGGTATCATTTGTGCTGCAAATGGTCCTTCCTACTAGATGCATTCACTGAAGAAACTTTGAAAAGGCATTTCTGGGATGATGCCATTTCCTAGGCTATGATGGGAAACAGTGGCATTGACACTGCATGTACAAAAGAATAGCTTGTTTCAACTGTCCCAAAAAATGTGGGGGCTTTTGGTTTTCCTTTAAACTGCATGCTTTTTCAATGCTTAAATCATGAAAAAAGCCATCAAATTTCCCATCTTTATTTACATTGCTATTTTATATTTTCATTCATGTATATCTTTTAACTGTAAATAAACATTTGCTTTCCATTATGCATTAACAACTGGTTTTGCCTCTACAACAGTACAATAACTTTTAATCTTATTTTTGCCTTTCAGAATTCCCTTTCTAATTAGAGGAACAGTGTGCTGCTATGGTGTTGCTGTGGGAAGTGATAAAGAATGGAATTTTGCATGGGAAATGTACAACCACACTGACTCCACAGAGGACGATAAAGACATCCTGCTCTCTGCCATGAGCTGTGCCAAAGAGTCATGGTTACTTTACAGGTGACCTTGATCAAAGTATATCTTTGTGTATGTAGAAGTAAATAATAAGAACATAAATAGTGTGCTGTGCAAATCTGATGGAGGTTTGTCTGCCTCTGCAGTACGTGTCTTGTTGACCACTGGAAGAATCGTAAGTTTTCTTATGGAGCAAATACAATAAATAGGGCAAACACAGATCAATGATTCTTCTGCAGATACAACACTGGTGTCATGTTCAGCATTGGGTCTGTCTTCTGTCAATATATCTAGTGACCTTTTTGAACTAAAATGAATTCCTTTGTGTTGGTTTTTAACTTGGAACCCATGGGTTGCCCACACCCTATGCACTGTAGGAAACAGTAATGATAATTTGTTTTGACATTTTTCCTCATTTATGATTTTACATAATTTTCCCAAACTCTTTCACCTCTGCTTATTTTGTTTCCAAACAAAAGTGTCATAGCCTATTAGCCTCTGTGTGGAAGCAAACTCACCTAGGTAAAAGGCAAGAATGCAAATAGACTTATTGGCAAGTTCTTCACCATTTGAAGTGCAGATTCAACTGAAAAGTAGTGGGTTTTTTAAATTTCCAGCTTCACAGAGTGATAGAATCATGTGATATCCTGAATTGGAAGGGTCAAGCCTAACTCCTGACCCCATTTGGGGCAACCAAAAAGTTAAGACAAATATCTAAGAGTCTTGTCCAAATGTTTCCAGAACACAGTTTGGAACACAGTGTTAATTTTCTTTTACTGACATCCATCTTTATCAGAAGAAGATGTCAAATTCTCTAATTTGTCATCTTTACATTACCTAAAGTATTTGTTAAAAGATGCAAATTTGGCAATGTAATGATGATCATCTAAGAGTTCACATGAGTTCCATGGATATAAAGCTCTGGAAGTAGCAGTGATTTTACTCCTTCCAGCCACCTGCTCTAGTGATGGTGGTCATTTGAAAAGACAGAAAAAATATGCCTGAGAGTAACACAAGTGTTGCAAAGAGAAATCCCATCAGCTACACTGATTTTCCCCCTAAACTATGATCCTTTATTGTTCAGGGAGTCATGATGAGCTTCTTCTTCCCTGTGCCTTAGTAGCTGATAAGCCAATTGTGTTTTTTGAAATGCCACCCTGAAAATTTTTTGGGATGAGGAATGTTAAGCTATGCTTTTCCTGGTCCTCAGAATGTTTTGTTCATTTTGTTAAGCATAGTGGTAGCACACGAATGGGAAAAACCCAGCTCAACTACTACACCCATAAAGCAGCTGCCTGCAAGACCCTATGAGAAGAATAACTCTAGAAGTGTTCCTTTAAAAATTGGAGTATGCAAGGTGCGAAAGACTGAGGCAACAAAGACAATACTTATTTACTGCTCAAGCAGTAAGAATACTTACTTCTCACTGCCACTGACATCACTGGCTAGTAGTTCCTAAAATACTTTTGGAACCCTGCCTTAACCCCCATGAAAAAGCTTCTTCCTGGGTCTTGTTGTAGGGAACCCTATAAACACGTCAGCTCTGTGTAACAGAGTGTCTCGCTGCTGGCACACTCTCTAGGCTCCACCTGTGTCACAGCAAAGGGAATCTCCTGGAAGTGAGAAGCAGTTTGCCCTTCTTTGGCTTGTCTGGTAGGAGTGGTTGCTTTTCTGTAACAAAGATAAGAAATGCCTGTATGCCTCCCTGGTATGCTATACCCTCACTTTACTAAGATATGAGGATTCAGTGTGCAAGAATGAGATTTCTGCAATGTTAAGGACAAAACCCAAGCTGAATACACAGCTCAGAGTGACACCATCTTTGCTATAACCTTCCACATGCTGGTATTTGTTGAGACGGATTATATTTCCAGATCACTGGCATGATCAGTGGCAAGTGATAGGTGCATTTCTTACCTTCTTTTCTAACAGATACTTGCAATATGGACTCGGTGATACATTATTTTCTTCTAACTGTACTTCAACCGTCATCTTAAATGTGATGGCTAAAGATATTGGACACCGTATGGCCTGGGAATTTGTTACTGAAAATTGGCCACTTTTAAGTGAAAGGTAAGTAACCAGTTTTGGCTTCCTTTTATTTCTGTGGCCCTTTGGCTTCTTCCTCCATCTTCACATTTAAGTTGTAAAATTCAGGTGCAGATTTTCCTTCCATAGGTGGCTATTTGTAATGATTGATTCCACTTCTAAAGTGTACAGAACAGAGTTTTCAGAGGATTCAACTATTATCAGGGCTTAATGTCAAAGAAGAGCTCATGTCAAACACAGAACACTTTAAAAATTAGTCTGTTCATGACTGTTTCAGTACTTTTAAGTATATTAGATTTCCTGGAAACTTTAATTCTAGAAATGGGTTTATCTACTAACATCTCACAAGCGTGGGTGTAAAATGATGGAACAAGATAGTAACCTCCTTTCCAGAGTATGAGTAGATGGGGGATTAGAGCATGCAGGTGTGCATGGTAGGACAAACTACAATATTATTTTCTGACGTAAGTCCTAATCCAACTTCAGCCTACCTGCAGGTAAATTGGAGGTGAGGCTGGATTACCCGTCTTGAGCAAAGCAAGTATTTTGATGTCTGTTTGACAGACACTGGCGAACAGACAGACACTTGGCACTGGCGAACAGCAGCAGGGCTGTGACAGAGTACATTTCAGATGCTTTTGATGGCAGAGGAGATCACTGTGATCCATTAGTGGCAGCATAACCAACACCAGCCATTTTGTACATGAAGGATAATTTTTGTGCTTCATCTTGCTCAAATGTCTAAATCAAATATTAATGGTATTTCTTTAAAAGGGAAAAGGAGTATGCAATTGCAAAGTTCAGCTTAGTTGGTATTTGCAACATAGTGAAAAATAACTAGTCTGAATATTTTCAAATGAGATGAAATTTATTATATTTTCTAGCATGCTATTTGAAGGACCTTTATCTCAATTTTACAGATATGGGCAGGAATTGTTGCATGATGTATTAAAAGTCATGGGAAGATTTGTCAATACAGATGTACAGATCCAAGAGGTAAACCAGAGAAGCTTTATTGCCAGTTTGTAAATACGGGATTTTACATCTCTTGTTTTTTAAAGAAATCATAGGACATAATTTTGATGTGTTGCAAATCTTCAGGTTGGGAGCTGAGTCCCAGTACATTCTATCAAAACTGTCTCATTTTTCTCTATAAAATCTGTCATTAGAGATAACCTTTGTCATGATGTCTACAGAAAATGTACTAAAAGTTGGGCTGCTGGCATGTTAAGTTGTCGCGCTGGCATCTGTTTAATTTCTCATATTGTTCATTCACTGCTCTCCCCATGAATTTCTTCACTATTCTTCAGTATTCTCTTTTCTTTTGCTTATTAGACTGATGGGAAAGATTTCTTGTTCTGTGATTGTAAAACAGGCAGCACAAGTGGATTCTGCTACCCAGCTAGTCCAAGACAATGTGGTACCACCAGTACCAGTGAAGTTGGTTGCATTTGAAAGGGCACATTCTTGATATGTAAGGAGCTTTCCAACCTTAGTGTAAATCAGTAAGCTTGCCCCATCCTCTCTTTAGTGTCTGTTGTCTCCTTCTTTTCTGTGCACTTCTTTCTAAAGCATCTGCCAGGCACTCAGTTGCTTGCTGCAAGTGAAGTGACGTGAACTAAGTTCATGCATTAATTTCTTCAGTTGCAGGTTTTTTATAATGCTACGCTGGAAGAGGACGAGAGACAGGCTACTACTCTGTTACTGGAATCTACAAAATCTGAAAATATTGAAAGGAGAAAACTATTAATCAAAGTTGCCAGCTGGTTAGAGAAAAATGTAGATGATTGACTTGGAAAACAATTTCCAGAATATTTTACAGTGTGATTCAGTATCATCTTGGTATTAATTTTAAGCTGTAATTAAAGATAAAGCACATTTTTATGAGTCGTACGGTTGTTTTCCTATATGAAAAGTCAGGCTAAAATAATTCACATAGGAAAGAAAGATTCAGCAAAAGAAACTATAAACATATTTACATGTTATATCTAAATTAATTTCCTACTGGATGAGGTTTAGTAGGGATGCATTGCTAATGATGATCTAACATATAGATACAGTCCTAAATGCTTCATTTTTTTTCTGAATAATAAATAAAAAGTGTGGTACAAGTTTGTGGCAAAAACACATAAGGAAGATGGAAAAGGTTATATTCTGTGTTTCTTTATTTGTACAGTGACCTGTAATCTGTCTGTCTCCACTTCTATGTTTTTAAATTCAAAGAGGACAATAACTTAGAATAGTACCATGAAACATAAACCTCAGAACTAATTCAGAGCTCTAGGGAGGAAAGGACTAAAGAATCATCAGTTTTTCCTTGTAACAAATGAATGCCTTGTCCTTCAAGTTTTATCATTCCATAGCAGATCTATACTTATGTGCCTACATTCACATTTGTGTTTGATTAGGAACACGTTTTTAAAGAGACTGTCCTGGTTGTGTCCATTTAGCATACTTACAACCCCCAGGACAGTCTTGGACTATGTGAACTGGAATCTTTCTGGATGAAATTTATCTGGGAGATGATGAACTCCTGGTGTTCAACTGAGAGACACTACCATTTGATGGTCATTTTGCCCATGGCACTAGAATGCAAGTAGTCTAAACTAACCTTTCTGGAATATCATCACTCTTGTTACACTGAGGTGCTTGCAAATCATAGTATCATAGAATGTGCTGAGCTGGAAGGGACTCATTAGGATTATGAAATCCAACTCCTGTGCTGTAGATACAGGGTTAATCATCTTGCTTACACAGCATTTTGGAGGCGACAGACAGACATAATTCAGTCCACTAGTATCAGAAAACCATATTAGCTTGCTTGAAGAAGTAGGGGATCTTCAGTCCATGCAATTAATTTATTTGTGGGAAACAGTACTATGACAAAATTACTGTACTGCTGATTAGGTTAACATAGGAAACAATGTTATCTGGGGATACAGAAGACCCTATAAGGAGACAAGGAATAAAACCCAGGCATGTTAATACTAAGAATTTTTCACTGGCCGCCTCTAAATACACTTAAGGAAAACATTGCCATGCTGGCTACAGTGAATCTCCTCTGCTTCCCAAGGCTGCAAAAAAAAAAAAAAATTGAAACTATTTTGTGACTGCTTGCAAATCTCTTTGCTGTATGGTAATTACCAACTGCTACACAAGTTTGTGTTGGAAACATTTGACCTCTTTAGGATTTGACATAGTGAAGGATAATGCCGAAGAAAATTGTGTGCATTCTTGCAAGTCTTTATCAAGTTGTTTGAGAAAAGAGGAAAGTCATCAAGGCTGCAGTAAATTACAGGGGTTTTATAATAGGATGATTTTGATTGGGAGGGACCTTAAAGATCATCTAGTTACAACTCCCCTGCCATGGGCAGGGACACCTTCCACTGGACCAGGTTGCTCAAAGCACTGTCTAGCCTGGCCTTGAACACCTCTAGGGATGGGAAGTCCACAGCCTCTCCATGCCAGTACTTAACCTCTTCTGCCTCAGCACTTCTTGTGACTACCACTAGTTAATCACTCGCTCTGTATTCCTCATTGGGTGAACTCACCAAAGCTCAAGAAACATCCCACATTTTATCCCTATGCCCAGTAGGTTCAAACCATCTCTTTCCAACCATGAGCAACTACTCTTTCTTTCTAACAACTCTTCTATGGCATTGTTACCTTTTTCTTCTTTCTACAAAACAAATGTTTTAATTAGAAACGCCAATATGTAAAAACTACAAAAATAATTTTAAATAAGAAGCTGTTTTCAAATAATGGCTCCTGACTAATGTCTGCCTCCCATCTGACATGCCGTATTTCAGAACTGCAATGTAGTGTTAGGCAGAGGCAGAATGGTGAAGGTCATTGCTAGGCAAGCTGCCTGAGCAGGAGCAGATCTGAATTGCTTCCAGAGTCCACACACTTGCACTCAGTGGCACGTGACAGTGGCAGCTGTACACTGGCAGCACTTGTTGCTGTTGAGTACAAGTTGAGCACAGAGGTTTGGAGAGTGGCAAGTGGGAAATGCAGCAAGGGAAGGAGAGGTGCATGGAAAGAATCCAGGACAAGCTGGGAAAGCTACTTTATTGCAAAGAGAGTTGGAGTGAAAGGAAGTTCATTGAAAATAAGTATGAGGACATGGATGGGACTCCAGGAAATGAGCTTTATGAGTACGTCTGAGGTCTGTGCTATGGGACATGTAATTGTGAAGATGTGCCTGTATGGGGCAATTTCCAGGGAAAAAAGCTGTGTCATTGATAGATAGGATGCATCCAGTAGGCCCTGAGGGGAAAAAAAAAAATACATTTGATGAAAAAAGGCCAGCTTTTTGCCTTAAGTCCTGCTTTCTGTCTTGAGAGTGTGGAAGTCAAAAGTTACACTTGTTCTTCCTTTACTGTACCCATGTGTGACAAGCAGACTTCAGAGCTGGCAACAATGCATGCCAAGAAATTCCCCATAGAAACAGAGACTTAGAGCTGTTTAAGACAAGGTTCAAGGGTACTAGCCAACTTCTCGTCTGCACCTCCTGGCACAGTTGGCCTGCTGCCCCATTCTGCCTGCATCTCCTTTCAGTCCTGGCACCCTAAGAAGCCTCCCAGGTAGGTGAGGAAAAGCAGCTGGTTGGGGGGCCTGAGTGGCCAAAGTGCAAGCCCCATGCCTCCTGGCTGCATAATGGCACCCATGGATGAGGTGGGTGGAGAAGCCTGCTGCTTCTTTCAGGGTTGTTCCAAATCCCAGAAGGGCCGGTATGGGGTAGGCAAAAGGAATGGGGACTAAAATGCCATAAAATGAACTGAGATGTGGCCTTGCCACATTTCTGCTACGCAGTGACTCACAGAATACAAAAAGAGCTGTCACCTCTGCATCCCCTGGCCCAAAGGTGCAGGGGGTCCTCTGGAGCCAGGTGTGATGGATGGACCTAATCCTATGGCCAAACTAATGGTAGTTTGGTTCAGGCTCCAAAGGCTGCAAAGGCCTAGACCAGGACTTGGTTGAGAACTTCCAAGCTGTTCCAAGCTGTTCTCTGATAGTCCACACAGGAACAGGGTGATATGGTGAACGTTGATGCATACGAGCTTGGAAACTGGAATACCAAATATGTGACTAACACAATAGCAGGTAGTTCTTCCAAGACTCATTTGTCAAGGAACGCAGGGAGCTGTAGGTACAAGGAGTCTTACATTTATCTTTTCCATCACCTGTAATTTGGCTGTGAGCCAGCTGCTTTATCCCATAAATGTGACAGCCTAAAAGAGCCTTCTCTGAGCTCTCCCTGCTAAGCAACTTGCTTCATGGGGTGATCTGCCTCGGAGGTGGGACACCTCTCAGGTTGCTTCTAGAGGCTGAAACACCCTTTACCAACTGCTTTGGTAAGTGACCAATATAGTGCACAAGCCTGTATTATAGCACACTAAGATTTTGCATTGGTAACTTTGACTCATAACTCTGTGCAGTAAGTAATAGAATGAAACTTGCTGTTTGTTAAGTTTTACAGTATCTTGGTTCAATAAAATCACTATTGCTGATACCTTTGGCAGTCATTCTTTAAGTGGTCAAAATTTTCCCATGAGACAGATGGACAACGGGTCCTGGTCTTTTGGGGGCGGTTGTCTGTCATTCTTTGTGATGCAATTTATGAGACAAGGACATGAGTGGGGATGGGCAGGCTGACCTTGACTGTCTGTGAAATACCCATTGTGATGCTCTCCCACTCCTCAACAGGATGTAAGGAGAAAATAAGGTGAAATAGCTCATATATTGAGATAAAAAGCAGGGAGATAACTTACCGAGTACCATCAGGGGCATGTTGTAGTTTGGGAATGGTAGTCCCCAATTTAGTACTCTCACTGAGACTCTCCAAGCCACTTGCCACTCGCTCACTCAGTCCCTGCTCTCCCTCCTCTTCCCACCGCGGTTGACTGGAGAGGAGAGCCAGAGGCACAAAAGGTTGAGGTAAGAACAATTTACTGGAAACATCAATGAGATAAAAATACTAAACAGTAACAGCAGCAATATTAACGACAGAGGGTACAAGAAAGAGGTGAAAGGACATTGGATTGCTCCCTCTGCCTTGCTACACTAAGCGAGAAGAGACTCCCTTCCCCTTGTCCCCCGGGTGAGGGGGTATAAAATAACATCGGGGCCCTGGCCATGCCCCCTCCCGGCTACTGCAAAAACAACCTTGTTAATGGCTGGAACCAGGCCTATTAAAATAGATGTCTAGTATTTGTGGCCTACTAAAATAAACTTCAATAGTAAGAAACAAAACCAAAAATTAAAACACCGCCATCCCCCAGACACTTCGTTTTTACCCGGGCTCATCTTCATTCCCAACTCTTCCACCTCCTCCCGTGAGCAACCCAGCGGGAAGAAGAAATGGGATCAGTCCATAACTACTGGCGTAGTCGCTGGCACTCCGTCCCGCTCCTCACGCTGTTTCCCCGCTCCACGGTCCCTCCTACAGGCCGCGGTTCCTACAGCGAACACCGTGCCCCTGCTCGGCCCTGCGAGCCCTCGCCGCCCTCACTCACCTCGGCGCTCGCACCGCTGTTCCTCCCCTTGCGGTTTCCCCCTCGTTCGTCTGCCCGCCCGGCGTTTTTGTCCTTTCCCCAGCGGGTTGTCCCTGGGGCGCCGCCGGCTCCGCTGAGGGGCTCGGGGCGCGCAGAGGGCAGAGAGGGCCTGGGGCAGCTCCACAAGGTGTGAGGAACACCGGGGCGAGCCGTGGAGGAACGGCGAGGCAGGCGAGTGCGGGACAGAGTGTGGGAGCCGGCAGTGGGAGCAGCCGGGAAGGAGGAGGGAACGGGTGGGAACCGTGCCCGGGGCCGCGGGTTGAGGGGTCGGTAATTGGGCCCTGCTGCCGAGGCCGCTCTGTGGGGTGAGACAGAGCAGTGGGGGTGATGACACCGCAGCTCTGCTGTGGGCTCAGCCACACGGCGTGTGTGAGCGGGAGCGGCCGCGTTTCCCTGTGGGAGAGCCGAGCCAGGAGAGGCACGGGGGCGTGTCCCCGCCGCTGGAGTGCCCGGCCGGGCGAGGAGCGTTAACAGCGGTCTGTGGGGGAGGGAGCTTTGTTCTCCCCCGGTGCCTCACACAAGCCTTTCACACCCTTGTCTCCTGGGCATCTCGGCTACTGAAATCACCTCCCGCATTTCCCTGTGCTTTCCCCCTGTGGTTTCGCCTACCAGTCCATTCTTGGAGCTGAGGATGATTGTCCAGGTGATTTTCGGACAAAAAACTGCTTCTCCTCCTTAGACTAATATAAAGGGGGGTGGGGGGAGAAGTATCTTCTGTAAATACATAATACCTTTTACTTAAGTAGAATTATTATAGATATAGTTCTTTAGTTTTAACTTATTAATAATAAATACTCATACTTTTTTTTTCCAATTCAGTCTCTTTATCTGCATAAACCTTCTCTCAACTGATAGTAATTGTATGGGAAGTGTAAAAGTAAATTGAGCCAGGGCAAAACCACAACATTTTTTGGTGGAGAATGCAGGCAAAAACTGCCCAAAGAGGCAGTGGCTGAATCAAACCCCAACATTTTTAGTGCCTCATGTGAAGAATTGGCCATAATGATTTTAAGATAAGTGAGAGAGAAGTCTGCAGACAAAAATAGATTGACCATGTGTACTGTAGTTGTAGAGAGATAACACTAATAGAGTTAAGTATTATAATGATGTTTTAATTTTTAATAGAGTATTTTTTAGTTATAAATTGTTTATTTATAATTGTATGTTTATTGTAGAATTTAAGATTTCTTAAAATGTAATTCGCAAAGGCGAAGGGGGGAATTGTCGTGGTTTTGCTCACCAGCCCATCCCTGGAGCTGAGGATGGTTTTGTCCAGGCAATCTCTGGACAAAAAAACCAATCAAGAAGTTCAGTGACGCCTTTGCTAATTGCATCTTTAAGAAAATGGAAGAGAAGGTGGTTGCACAGTTAAAATTAAGCAGCCCTGTAAAAAAGGCAGCGGTGGGCCCTGAAGTGGGCCAAGGCCCCCATCTTCCCCGGCTTGGGCCAGGGAGGGAGGCAAGTGTAGTACTGAAGCCCCCCTTCTTTTTTGTAAGAGAGTGAAGAAAAAAAAGGCTTAAAAGATGAACTACTTGGACAGAAACCGCTGCAGAGAAATTCCAGTGAAGAGATAAAGGACTTTCAAGGTCAAAGCTGGCAGTCGGAGGAGAGAGAAGAAAGGTTCGAAGGGGGGAGAGCTGCTTCTTTCTCCCTTTTGCTCTCCCTCCCTTCAGCAGGGTAAAGACTGAAAAGTAATCCCTGCCACCTGTAAAAGTTTGTTGAGGTGAAGAGACCCCCCATGCGACTCACAGAGGAGCCTGTGAATGCACCAGAGATTTGTGACTTTGACAGAGAGAGAAAGCCTTACACTGGAGCAGAAGCGGCTTGGATGAGGCAGAGTCCTGTTGAAGACTTTGTGACCCTTGAAAGGGATGATGTTTATGCCGGCACAAGGACGGCTCAGATAAGCTTGGGATCTCAGTAAGAGATCCATACTACTAGTGCTGAAGATTTGTGACCCTGAGGGAAACCCACGCTGAAGCAAGACAGCTCAGGTGAAATATTGGAATCCGAGTAAGGAATCCAGACTAGACCCATGCCGAGAAGTCTATCAAGAACTGTTCTCCCATGAGGAGGGACCTCCCTAGGGAAACAGGAGTGAACTCTTAAACCATTATCCCCTGTAACCCTGTGGAAGAAGGTCCATAATAAGCAAGTGTCCCCTTTCAAGGCTATGGAAAAAGACCCTTCAGGGCCTGGGTAACCCCCAGCCTTCGGTTTTAACCCAGAAAGGGGGTAAACCCAGCCCTGAAGGCTGACACAGAAAAGGAAAAAGAACTCCAGCTGCAACAAGAGTGCTGCAAAGTTACTGGAGAAAAAGAGAGAGAGGTGGAATTCTGAGAATGGAAAAGGACTGCTTCTCCTCCTTAGACTGATATAAAGGGGGGTGGGGGGAGAAGTATCTTCTGTAAATACATAATACCTTTTACTTAAGTAGAATTATTATAGATATAATAAAAAGTTTTAACTTATTAATAATAAATACTCATACTTTTTTTTCAATTCAGTCTCTTTTTGTCTGCATAAACCTTCTCTCAACTGATAGTAATTATATAGAAAGTGTAAAAGTAAATTGAGCCAGGACAAAACCACAGCACCCCCTGTCTGTTCCACCCCTTCGCCAAGCCCCACAGGGGCTGTTGGTGATTTGAAAGAAAAACAAAGGAAAAGACAAGAGTCAAAACCAAGTGATAAACCCAGTTGTTCGGAAAAAATGGGGAGGAGGAGGGAAATGAGCTATCAGATGTGAGGAACACTACCTGTGGCCTCACTCTGTGTCAACATTTTAACACCAAAATCATAGAACTCCAAGGAACTGTTTCCCAATGGGACAAGAATGTCACAGGTTTAATTTTTTACTCTGAAAAAGGCGGTGTTTTTCTCTTCAGCTGCCCCATTTGTCTTGCTGCAGGATGCTGCTGAGCTTGACCAGGAAGCTCAACAGAAATTCAGCTCATCTGCTCCCACCTTCTCCCATCCCCCTTTGCAACACTAGGGATATTTGTATTATATCTACCCATGTGTGTTCACAGCCACGTGCTCATGGTGGGGAAGACTCATCCCTGTAGGAACCCTCAGGAGTTTCACCAGCAGAATCAAGCTCTCTTAATGCCACCTAAGATTTTAATCCTTGTATAGGTACATCCTTGTAGCCTAACATCCATCCAGTAAAAGCTACTCTGAGCTGATTGGAGGCTATGTGTTATCATGTATGCCATGATAAACAAATATAATTCATACACAAACAGTTCAGGAAAAGGTCAGATACACGTGTATAATTAGCAAAATGGAAGAAAATACTAAGCATAAGATGGTTTAATTATAATGTTGGTACTGATAGAGTTAATTCTTGTTTTCTCCATCATGTAGAATATGAAGAAATCAGAACCTTGGAAAAATATATGACAATAAAGCTGGTTGTAGGAGTTTTGGTTTTGGCTTGTTGTTGTATGAGCACCTTGGAGATTGTGACTTTTTTTTTTCTCTTGAGGGATTTCTGTTTATTTTTCACAGCAAAAAAACCCCAACAAATGGTGGAACAAAATGAAGGGCTGTGTAGCAGCATTTACATGACCTACCTAAGTTCTGTTGCTAGAATGCTACATCAGCTTTTGGTTTTAAAAGTGCTTGGAGGGAAAAAAAATAGTATTGTAAATAATAAATCTCTTGCCCTCAGACTGAGTTGTGAAATACCTCAGAGAATTGGTGGATACAGCTGATGAAGATTAAAAAGCCATGTTAGACTGTTTGTCTAAGCTACAACAGGAGAATTTATATGAATTGACAGTTTTAGGTGCTTATTAGGATATAGGTGTGTTCTAGAGAAGCATAATGAGAGCCATTAGTGGTTGTAGCATGCTGAAAATTGGCATCTAGAGGGATCAGGAAAAGACTGAGTTGTCTGCACTAGTGCAACAAATAAACCTGAAAGGCAGCAAGCTGAACCATGAGGTTGCATGTCACTTTAGTTATTGGGGAGCAGGTTTATGTATTGACTTTTGGAAACAGTGAATAGAATCAGAACATTTTGTTTGTAATGGTAAAACATTTCTTTACTGCATCCAGGTTCTAAAAATATCTCCATTTAAAAAAACCTTTAAATTAAAAAAATGCAGTAGTTTATTACAGGGTTTTTGTTCACTTCTCTTTAAGGGGAAAAAAAAAAAAAAGCTCTGAGAAATATATTTTCCCTGTTGTTCACAGATGCAAATGAGAAATGAGGACTGTCATTCTGGTTTATAGAATTTCTCTATTTCCATACTTTGTGCTAAGTACTATTTAAAAGCCATAGTTAATGAGACAGAAACTGTGAGGTCCTATAAGACCGTTACCTGGCACTGTCTTCAGCCTGCTTCCCTGGGGACCTCTAGTTTGATTATTTGTCTTCTGTTTCAGTCACTCTGGGGCTGATGTCATAGTTCCACTATCAGAGGAATTGTGCAGCAGTAAATCTACAGTGTGTCATCCCCTCTTCTTGGTAAGTACAATTTAAAATTATGGAGAACTTCCTTTCTCTCATGTTGTCTGCTCTGAACTGAACATACACCCTCCAAAACTGCAGGTTTTCAGAAGGTAAGTCTGGCAGGTCTCTTCTACCTCTTGCATGACAAACAGAAGACAAACATGATTTTATAATTAACTCTTATACTTCAGCTACAGGATCTTTCACTTTTAGATGCAGCAGAAAGTCTCTGGGTTTGAGAGGGAGAACTCATGAGGATTTGTTTTATTGTACTGGGAGAGGGATGTGTTTGCTCCTCTGGATCCTGTCACACAATGGGCCATTGCTCTGTCACCACATTTGTCAGTTTTCTGGGAAACCAGCTGAGTTACAAGGGATGAGACCTATTTCTTCATCTAATCTGCATTTCCTAGCTCACTTCGAGGCTGTCTTCTGAGCATACATGCACATTTGAGGCTTGAGAGAAGGTATAGACTAGATGGTAAATGATCCTTCCACACCTTTACAGCTTCGTTGATCCTAAGAAGGATTAATTTGTTCCCATTCTTAGTTTGAGTGGCGTGAGGTGGCCTATAGAAAATCCAAGATGTGTACTTGAATGTACCACAAACCTGAGGACTGGTTCCTGAGCCCACATACATCTCTGCAGAACTAGGCTGATGGGACTGCTATAATGGGTCAGTTTAATCCATGTGGGAATACAGGGGTTAAAGCCATAGGGACAGCATCTTATCTTACACTGGTGAAGGTGATGAACTTCTCGGATGGAAGCTCTCCAATGTCACAAACAAATACAACTTGAAAAAATGTGCATTCACTCTTGCAAGCCCTGCAGAGACACTAGCTTAAGGCTGGTGATATCAAGTAGATTGAAGTGTCTGGTATGCCAGTCACCACATTTCAGGTTTCCCAGATTTCCCAGAATGTTCTGCTTTGGAAAGGATCCACTCATCAGCTGAAATATTTAGCTGTGTAATCTGTAAGGATCGTAAATAGAATATTAAATTCTTGAAAGAGCAGATATAAGAAAATATTTCTTTTATGAAAATCATAAACAAGTGCAGTTCCTTCCAAATCCTAACATCTTCTGAATCTGTTCTCTGAGCAGAAACATCTGTGTCATGGGTATGACTCTTTTAATATAGCACAGATTCTGATTTCTTCCTTCCTTAATCTGCTTTTAGCCTTGTCAGCTGTTTCAAGGCTCTATTGAAATTGCGAGTTCTTAGCCATATGCTGTGGCCACAGTGGGATATTGAGCTGTGGATGATCACCTCCAGGAAGTACTTGCTGTATGCAAAAAGCATGGGAGAGCACAGGTTTTGGTGGAGCAAGAGTGCACTTGATGCTTGTCCTCAGAGTTAAAATTATTATGGAAGAGAGGAGTGTTAAATGCATTGCCCCGGATTATCACTACAGTCAAACCTAAAGTAGTAGAAAAAATCCTCTGTTTCAGGACCAAGAATATTTTCCTTTGCATAATCACGTTCTACAAACATGATAGTGGATGTCTGAGTCTCCCTCATTTCCCTATCCCCCTTCAGAGCACACTATGATAGGTAATTAGTCTATGAGTCTCACTAATTTCTGAAATGTGCACACTTTTCTAGTCATATTCAACTTCATTTTTTAGTATCGTTCCTGTGATTAAAATTCAACACTATATATTTACAGTATATATGGAGGCAGAAATGTGCTACATTATCTATGTAGGATATTTTTTCTGAGGTGCAAGGGCATTGGGAACGTATCTTTGGAACAAGATACTTGTTCTTTTTGCCAGTATTTAAAATGAGACCTCTGATTTGGGGTATTTGGTTCCAGATAGCTACTAGAACTTAGTTGCCAAAGGAGTCAAATTTTTACGCCACCAGAGGACATGCAAGAATTCTGCCTGCTTACACTGGTAGCTGCTGATGGCTGTTCTGCTACTGAACTCTGCATACTGTAAAAAAACAGGCATGGATGATGATCATACATACTCATAAAGTGTTGGGCACAGCAGGAGATGTAGGAAACAAACCCTTACCAGGACTTCAATTTGAGTGCAAATAACGAGCAATACTCACCTTCTCTGGAGCGGTGCCCTTCATTCTTTTTTCATTTATGGACCCTTAGTGAATTTCCAGTAGGAACGCAGCTCCTCCATATAGCAAATATTAACTGCCTGGTAATAGATTTATTTTTCTAGTTCTGAAATGATACCCAAGTTCCAAGACTAAAAGTGATGTCGTAGAGCATTCCATTGTGAATGGTGCCATATCTGTCATTCTTCAGGCTGTGGAAGAGGAAAAAGGGAAACCCTATCCGAAACAGGTTGAAGGCTGTTCTTTTCACCTCTTAAAAATAATTCCCTCCTGTTAGCACAAGATCTCTTCCTTCTCATTCCTATTCCCACTTAGACTGTTGCCCTGTAGGAAGAGGCTGCAACAGAGGAAGCTTAAAGCTTGGACTCTTACTTGTCTAAGTGAAATGAAGATCTTTGGGACAGGATTTGGATAGCAGTCCTGAAGTGCAGGGTAAACTGACAGAGACCACTGTGCTACCTTTCAGAGGTACTGGGAGAAACTGGGCAGCAACTAGGGAAGAATTAGACAAGGTCCAAAAATCTTAAATATTTCTGGTTGTGTTTGTGGTTAAAGTTTAGGGCACTGGAACTGCATATTTTACATAAAATCTTTTAACGAACTATGTTCACAAGGTGGGTAAAAAGAAGTAGCTGTCATCCATCCTGAACAGCTGCTACCACCACTTCTATGTTGACAGCAGAGAGCTGATGTATGACATTTGCAGGATAGACTCCCAGAACCCATAGTCCTCCCTGGTTACTCTGTAAGCAGAGCAATGCACTTTTTTTTCTATTCTCAAGTTACGCCTTTTTTTTTTTTTTCTTTTTTTAATAAAAATAAAAAATTAGATGTTTCGCGAAGCTGAGGACTGAGATTTAAAAGCCAAGATTTAAACTCTTGCTTTTAGTCCGCTGGTTGAAATCTTCAGGGAGAAAACCGAGTCCGCCGGGAAGCCTGGTTGCTCTGGGCGCGGCCCCGCAGTGCCACCTGGTGGCGAGCGCGGGCACTGCGGGCCCCGCGGCATTCCCGCCGTGCTCTCCGTGCGGACACAGCTCCGCACCCCCCGGCGGAGACACAGGGCAACATCCCTCCGATTTCTGGGTTATTTAAACGCTAGGGGGTTCCTGACATTTGCTTAAAGGATTACGGAGTGGCTTGGGTGGTACAGCTTTTGTATATGCTCGTTATATTATCTTAGTAAGGTTTTAAAATACAGGCTGCTACTGAGACACATCAGCAGTTATGAATTTACTGCTGGTTAATAATACATAAAAGCATAGTATGGCTATCACCTGCTTGCCTTATAACCTTCAATTCCAAGTCTGTGTATACTGTTGTATATGTCTAACACGTGTGTACTTATTTCACAAGGGTGGTCAAATGAGCAATCTTGTGGAAGAAAACTGCAAGGAAAGCTATTCTTCCCAGGAAACACCTGCAGAAGAAAATGTCTCTCCTGCTAAGGACCGCTCAATAGGACACAAAAAACTGGTACGACTTCTCCAGTACAATTTTATTATCAAGATATGTATCATTGCCTTCAATTTCTTCAATCATTACAAAAATTGAAAGCTAGTTAAGAGGGAAATATCAGTAATAACAACAGTGAAATAAATCAAGTTTGCAGTGCAGTGATTCAGAGGTGTAAGAGCACTTCCAAGCTCAAAGGAAACTGTAAGTAGGGAAATATGAGAGTAATCTTAGAGGGAGGACTATCTTTATAGCTTATTATTTGTTTCTAACTTAAAATTGCATAATTTATGGCCATGCAATGACCATAATGATGCTGAAAATATACCCTGGACTCCAAAGCATAACTGTCTGAACAATGCAGGTACATGAAATTGCTCTGTAGGTTTTTTTCTGAAGGTGCACAGCATCAACCACCTCAAAAACAAGTGCACTCAAGTGCACAGGTATTCTAAATCAGCAGATTGAACTGAACTGCCACTGCTTTCCACATGAGAAGCAATGAAAGTGCTCTGTTGTTTGTGGAAAATCACTGTAGACTCCGAAAGGAATGATACCTTCCAGGGCAGCTGAGAGATGGCAAGGCAACTGCACTTACCTAAGAGGAAAAAAGATAAATTTGTATGTATTTTTGTGCCTTTACATAATGGTAAATGTACAGTCAAAGTCCACAGTCATTGTCCAAAGGGAAACTGTTTCCTTATACACAACGCTAACATACATGTGCTATGTGGAATAGTAATACACAGATATTATGTTTTAACTTCCAAAAGTATTCACCAATGTTAGCTAATTTCAAACATAAAGTTCCTAAAATTGGCAGGAAAATGCTTCCTGCTATTCCTCAGAAAACTATGCTGTGGGTTTTTTTGTTTTGCTTGGTTTTGGGGGGGGGAGGTTGTCTGGTTTTTTTTTTCCCCATACTTCTCACCTCTGCAAATACTTCCTTACCTCTTTAATCATTTTCCTTGCCACCAAACTGTTTGAACAAAAATGGTTTCTAGGCATCTGATGGAACAGTGAAGATAAGAATGAATCAATTTGAGATGCTGATAATCATAGTACTTGTTTTTACATTATAGATGAAGTTGAAGAACAAAACATATAATTCTGCCTCTCACAAGACAACTTGCAAAGTCCATGCCACTGTACCAGAATCATGTATTCAGAGTCATGGTTGTTCCATCTCCTGTCAGAATGTACAGTCGGTAAAAGGAATACTCAATTAACAGTTAGACAAGCAAACATTTTAAACAATGTGGTCTTAGTTGCTTCCTTTTCCTACTTGTGTACATTATTAAGAATATTAATTTTAATACTATTCAAAAGCCAGTGAGGACACTTGGAAGTTAATAAATGTATTTTTCAATTGTACTGATTACAAACTTTCTGTTGTTTATTTATAGCAGAAACTTGAGAAACAATTAAAATACTTAGCCTTTCAAAATCCAGGACCTCAGGTAGCTGACTTCAATCCTGAAACTAGGCAGCAGAAAAAGAAGGCATGCATGTCACAGATGAAGCAAAATATTTTTTATGAGTCCAAGTAAGATTGTTAATTTATTACATACTTCACTTTAAAAAGGGGCTAGTATGCTGTTTACTGAATCTAAATTAAATTAATCAAAGCATTAATATTTTGCAGAGAGATTTCTTATTACACATGAAAGCTGCATTGGGAATACAGGATTTTTCTGTGTGATTTAAGAGAATTCTTATACACTTCTTTGGCAGTCTTTTTTTAATGCTAATGGTTGTTGCAGTCAGGATATAGTGCTGGTATTTCATTATGTCGTGAAGTTGTTAAAGAGTAAATACTTGTTCCTGTTCAGATGCTATCCACATTTTTTTGGTTTAGTCTCTGAACATGTTGAAACATTCTCTGAGAATCACTTCTTGTTCTTTCTCACAGGTTTACAAAGAAGTACGACAAACATGGCAGGTTGCTTTGTAACGGCATTGATTTGTGTGATTGCCTGGAAGTGGACTGCCTGGGTTGCTTCTATCCATGTCCCAAATGCAATTCAAACAAATGTGGACCAGAATGTCGCTGCAATAGAAAATGGGTTTATGAAACAATTGAAACTGAAGATGGCAATGTGATCAGTGTGCTGCCTTTTTTTGTCCCTGACTGATTATATTCTGTTAGTTTTTGTGCCTGAGCAATGTTCTTTTTTCTTCAAGTTTATTAAAGTAGATCTTTGTTTCATGAATTGTCTCTAGTCAAGTACCTGGCAATGATATTCTTATTGCTACCTACCTAGCAAGCTTTAACCCTCCCCATCGAGTAAAAGTATGTGTTCAATTCTTCCTCATTTTTGTGAGCTTTGCTGAGGGACCCAGTCAGTCCTTTCTAAATCTTGACTTTCTAAAACTAAAGGTGTTGGGACTGCTGTGGAAAGTTAATTTTCTTAACCTGGGAAGATGAATCACATTACTTGTAATGAGGGTTTTTTTTGCTGATTTATCTACTTGTTTGTTTACTCAGAGGTGTGACACAGCTCTTTCTTTTGTGAAGACTAGTCTGAGTGTCTTTTCATTCTGATGCACTCATGCCTTATAGATGAGGCAGGAGTCATTTGGGGTATCACTGTTCTTTGAAACTTGGTCACTACTTTCCATGTTCCTCTGTATCTAAAGCAGAGGAGACTGGAAACAACTGCAGTCCTTTCTTGCTGCCCAGGCTAAAAGACTGAAACCAACATGTTCAGTCAGCATTTGTTTTTTTTACAGCATTTGGCACCTTAAGCCTTTACCAGTCAGTACAATACAGCTAAACAGATTGTATATTTTTCCTTCTGGACAGAAAAGTCTCTTCAATTCCAGGAGTTTCCTCTCCATGCAAGACATGACAGATTTCAAATAGCATAACTTACACACAGTTGTCTTATGAGATAGGCGTTCTCATTCATGATGGGCACCCACACCCTTTTTGAGGAGTGGAGTTCCCTTTGGATCTTGAAGGGGAGAAAGCTGCAGATAGTTGCTCCAAGGCAACAACAACCCCATGAAGTGCCATAGGCTTGGGAAAGAGTGCCTAGAAAGCTGTGTGGCAGGAAAGAACTTGGGAGTGCTGATTGACAACGGGCTGAACACGAACCAGCACTGTGTTGAGGTGGCCAAGGAGGCCAAGGGCATCCTGGTTTGTACCAGCAATAGTGTGGCCAGCAGGACCAGGGAAGTGACCATCCTCTTGTACTGAGCACTGCTGAAGCCACTCCTTGAGTCCTGTGTCCAGTTTTGGGCCCCTCACTAAAAGAAAGACACTGGGATTCTGGCTCTTGTCCAGAGAAGGGCAAGGTCTGATGAAGGGACTCGAGCACAAGTCTGGTGAAGAGTAGCTGAGGGAGCTGGGTTTGTCTAGACTGGAGAAAAGGAATCTCAGGGGAGACCTTATCACTCTCTTCAACTACCTGAAAGGAGGTAGTGGCCAGGTAGGGGTCAGCCTCTTCTTCCAGGTAACAAGATAGGACAAGAGGAAATGGTCTCAAGTTGCAGCAAGGGAGGTTTAGGTTGGATAGTAGGAAAAATTTATTCACTGAAAGGGTAGTCAGGCATTTTCCAATCTAAACAATTCTATGATTCTATGAAAACACTGTACAAAACCCAAACCAAAGCAAAACAAACAAAAAATCCAAACAAAACAAAAAAACCACATAGGAATATCTTCCATGGTAGTTAAAACATTACATTTGGTAGTTGGATCCTGTGATGTTGTCTTATACACCTCACTGGTCTCAAACTATCCTTTGATTTCTGCCAGGAGTTCAGATGGCCCACATCATCTCTGAGCTATAATTCTTAAGGTAGGAGGAAATCCTGCCAATGAGTTGGGAGTTAGGGAATGGTTTCTTGTTCCAGATGTGCCATAGACTCATTCTGGACCTGATGGAACAAACAGCTCTTCAAGAAGATGAAGTTGATTTAAATCAACAGGAAGAAGGCAGCCTTCCTTTGACATAACTTCAAGATCTGAAATGGACAGGTTTGAATTAGTTTCTCTTTCATAGAATCATAGAATCATAGAATAGATTGGGTTGGAAAAGACCTCCAAGATCATCTTTCCACTTAAAGGCAAAAACCTAAGTAGTCTCTCATGTGGATTCCTGTGATAAGGTTAGATGTTACATTTTTTGAGTAATGTGGTGAAACCCAGATTGATGTAAATCCCATCACTGAATTAATTTGTGTTACTTTGTGGTTTTTAAAAGGGATTGTGACTCAGTCATAGCTAAATGCAAAGTATAAGAGAACTCCATCACAAACACACTTAGTGCAACCTTGAAAATAGAGAACAAAACTTGAAAAAAACAAAGGTGAGAGCCAAGATAAGCATAATGACATAAAAGGATGTTGCAGAGGCAGCTCTTCTGTGGTTTGAGAATGACTCAGTTGTTGCAATGATCCCACTGACTATTTCCTCAGAGCACAAGTGCGCAAGTGCACATTGATAGCACACTAGTATAATCCCTACTAAGGTAGATGTAAATGGGGAAGAAAAAAACCACGTATGTGGATTGTGAAAGTTAGTGGTAGATATAAATAACAACACAGTGCCCATATCTGATAGTTTTCGGTAATTACATAATGCCACAGCGCACAACATTGTGGTTTTAAATAAAGCCTCTTACGAGAAAAGACAGAGAACGTTTCTTAGTCTCTTGTGAAATTAGCTATGCTCCAGATGACATCAGATCTTCTTACATGTTATAAATCAGTCTAAACAGAAAACGATTTTCCCTAGGGAGTAAGTTTGCTTTAGAAAACTGTTTGAAATAGGGGGAATCAGAACGACTAACTATTCTATAAGGCCTGTTGGTCCTTTTCTCTCTTCCCATTCTATCCCTCCCCAGACTATGCAGGTTAAACAGTTTGTGATGCTGTGAATTTACTTTTTCTGTCTTTTCCTTGTCCATGTGGCTGCTTTGCTCATGGCTACCAGTGATCCTTTTGTGACTTAAGGAATGATAAGAGTACAGATAAATATTAAACTACTCCTTAGCTAAGATACTGTCACTAAGTCTCTTTCCTAAAAATTGATTAAGTTTGTTTAATGTGAATTGATTGTGTCTTCCACTGTATTTGCCTTGCTTACAATCACCTGGAAGGAGATATTCACCCTCTGCTTTATTAGATGTTATTACTACAAAGGAGTCAATTTCATGGAAATGAATAGTGTGCTCCCACCTGTGGGGTTTTTTTATGCAGATAAAGAAGGTTCTTCCCCTACTAGGCTCCTATGTGCTTGGACGTTGTCTTTTTGGAATCCTCTTGATTCCAAAGACTCCACTGTGCACGTCCTGCTATTTACTAACTGAAAACTCAGAAAATAAAATAAGACCTATGCACAGCATTTTGTTGTTTGCCTTCATTGCCCTGAGTTGGGCTTTGAGCCAGAAAGTCATCCACTGAAGACTCTTTATTTAACAATTTGTCAGTACCTTTCTACATCTGAAGCTGACAAAGCTTTGAGGAAAAAATGACAATACCTGTTGCTTCATATTGCATTGGGTACTTCTAAAACAATGGACAATTTAAAGGAAATACTAATAAAATGATTAGCATGGGACTCAGAAGAGGTAAAGGGCAAGGACCGTTAAGGGTCACTAAATATTATGACTTTTTTAAGATGTGAAGGTTTGCTAAAGACTACACACATCCAAGGTTTTATCAGAAGAATTAAGCTTTGGGAATTTTGAATAAGGCAGACCAAAGCTGTATTGGGGCACAGGGCTGACTAGGTAGCAAGTTGTAGCAAGGCCCCTACTCCCTTATCTACCTCTGTTTCCATGCTAATAAACGGGGAAAATGATGCTGATTTTTCTCTTGCTCAGTGTTTACAAATCCTTCATTAAATGTTCCACAATTAAAAACTGTATAACATTTGTATAACATTCAGTACTTCTGAAACACAGACTAGGAATACAATAGATCTATAAAACAACAGGCAGAAAATGGAAATAATTTTCCCAAAGTAAGTTCCCAAATTTTATATGAAAAGTGTTAGGGGATTCCTGTCCAAATGGGACTTAATGTTTGGGAACTCCAGTAAATCACATGGTATTCAGTTTACCTTCAGTGCTTTAAAAACAACAAAGAATGATCAGTCCTGGGAGATCTGTGGTTCCAGAAATCCAGTCACAGCCCAAAACCACTAAACCTCCTGGCTTAAAATGGACTTCTGCATATGGTGAGATGCCATTCAATCCCCCTATATCATTAAAGTGTTAAAAAAAAATACACTTTGGACTCTTTTCCAGACAATTTTTGTGATCCTTTTAAACACCTCCTGTTAGAGCACAACTGAACTTTCTCTTTATCTGTCTGTATCAGGGTAGAATACAGATTTGATTCAATTCAGGGGGAAAACCAAAAGAGGTGGACTAAAGAAATATAGATTGATACCTTCTGAATAAATATTCAAATATCCTTAAACAAACTTTTACACTAAATGCATTACAGTTGCTGCAGCTCTGTTGAGTTGGTGTGGCAGGATGGTTTGATGCGGGGAGAGCAGTCTACCTCAGCTTCAGCAAGGCTTTTGACACTGTCTCACATAACATCCTTGTAGGTAACCTCAGGAAATGTGGGTTGAATGGACAGATGAGGTGGATCAAGAACTGGCTTAATGGTAGAGGTCAGAGGCTCATGACAGTGGAACAGAAACCAGCTGGAGGCCTGTAGTCAGTGGTGCTCCAGAGGATTCAGTACTGGGTCTGGTCTTACTCAGCTTGTTTGGTGAACAACCTGGATGAAGTAATAGAATGTACCCTAAGTAAGGTGGCTGGAGAACTGGGCATGGAGAAATCTAGTGTGGTTCCAGAAGGGTAAATGTAGGGTCCTCCACCTGGGGAGGAATAACCCCAAATACCAGCACAGGTTGTGGGGGCAAGTCTATTAGAGGGCAGCTCTGCAGAGAGGGACCCAGGAGTCTGGGTGGGTGACAAGTTGAGCATGCGCCAGCAGTGTGCCCTTGTGGTCAAGGGGTCAACGGTATCCTTGGGTACATCAGGAGGAGTTGGGCAGCAGCTTGAGGGAGGTGATCCTCCCCCCTGTAGTTGGCCTTAGTGAGGACTCATCTGGAACGCTGTATTCAGTTCTGTGCTCCTCAGTATAAGAAAGACAGGGAGGTAAGGTAGAGGGTCCAGCAGAGGCCACAAAGATGATGAGGAGCATCTCGCTTATGAGGAGAGACTGCAAAAGCTGGACCTGTTTAGTCTAGAGAAGACTGAGAGGGGATCTCATTAATGCATATAAATATTTCAAGGGCGGATGCCAAGCAGATGGTGCCAGACTCTTTTCAGCGGTTCCCAGAAGCAGGAGGAAGAGCAATGGACATAAACTAAAACACAAGAAATTTCATCTCAACATGAGGAAAAATTTATTTACATTGAGGGTGGCAGAGCACTGGAACAGGCTTCCCAGGGAGGTTATGGCATGTCTTTCTCTGGAGACTTTCAAAATCCACCTGGATGGGTTCCTCCGCCACCTGCTCTAGATGGCCCTGCCTCGGCAGGACAGCTGGACTGGATGATCTCCACAGGTCCCTTCAACCCCCGACAATTCTGTGATTCTGTGAGTTTCTTAGCCAGTGATAGCAATACTGACTGTAGTTTTTTCCTTTGACACATTACTCATGATCTCCAAACATTTTAAAACAAATTATGCATGCTTCAGTGGGCTATTTTGTTTCATCCCACTCTATCGGGAAAACTGAGATATCAAGTCTGAGCCAGCTGAAACTTTGAATGTTAGATAGAATGTTATACTTGCATTTCATTAGCCATATAAAGATTTCCTGTCTTATTATTTGCAGAGGGTAATGCATCTCTTCTTCATCAGCCTGGCTCTGTGAAGTACTGACCTGCTTCTAACACTACACCAGTGCAAAGGTACAAATGCTGGTTCCTTATAGGATCATATCTGTTTGTGTCATAGTGACATACATTAAGGCCTGTTGTCCACAGATGAATCTTCTCTGTGCTCGCAGATGCCTTTTATTAGCATAGGCTATGCAGCCCCGATTTCTATTGTGAAGAGCTGCATCACCCAGTATAAACTGATGACCTTCACATGACTGGTGAATGTTCACATATAACCACAAAAATAGCAAACAATGAACCAGCATGCAGAAACAATAAACTAAGAGTTCCCTGCCCTTTCTCTTTCCAAGCAGAATCCAAGTAATCCCAGTTGATTTTAATGAGATTACATTCTGCGAACACAAATAATGGCAGATTGTTTCATAATGGTAAAAGTCACAAACAGTAACAGAGGAGAATTTGTTTCTGATAGAGGTAATTTAACTGAAACACTTAGAACTAACATTACAAGAAAAGAAAACCAAAAAACCAAACAACTTTTTTCAACAATATTTCAAAAGTTGAGTTATTTAGTACTAGATAAAAGGCACAAATCAATTCCTGCCACACAAATTTGTGGTTTGCTAACTTCAATTGCTTAAGACACTTGGAGGCCACAAGTGAAAATTTACATGAAACATTACTGGTTTACTTTCACTGAGTTGTAGGACAACTAATTAGTTGTTACATATTGCCAGGGATATTGTACAAATCAGAGCTTGAAGAAGTTCAACATGTTCTTTTGTGTGCAGCTTCAAAAGAAAGGAAAAATTACAGGGATAAAAATGACAGAAAAAGGCTCGAGCACTTTCACAAAACAGTGAAAAAACAGAATATATACTTCAATTTCTAGAAATGCAAAGCAGGGAAAACTGAGCTTTTCAAGACTATTGTAAGGTAGCAAGATTACTAACATTCAGCAGCAGCTAAATGCTCTGAAGTGTCACTCCTTGATGCCTAACATTTTGTCATAGGTGGTGAGCAGACTAATCCAAAAGCCCATACAACATCCATTTGCATGTCAAGTGGAACACTTTGAGTTAAAATATGTCTTACCTAGATGGATAGTTAAAACAACTGATAAAATACATTGTGTAGTATCATAAGCTCACTGAAAAAAACCTTCACATTGGAAAAGTGGGTCATGGATGCAAGTACAAACCAATAATAGGTGAATGGATACATGAGAAGTAACAACTATTTATAATTCTTTTTCAGGAACAGAAAAGGTATTAGGAAAAAAATTATTTAATTTTGCTCTTGACAGCACCTTGTCAGGTCAGCTTAATTATTTGTTATTTCCCATTAGGTGCTCTCTTTCTGTCTTTTTCAGTGAGTCCCTGAACACAGAGTCATAAAGGGTGGAAGAAGCTTCCAGAAATCTCAAGTCAAACCTCCTTTGTGAAGCAGGTCCAGCTGGAGCAGGTTGCTCAGGATCCTGCTCAAATGTGTTCTTAATATTTGTTGTTTCGATTATCTATTTTGAATATTAATTTGATGCAGCAAAATGTGAAAGAAAACATTTTAAAATAGGTCCAGATTATAAAATGAGAGAATTGGCAGCACACATGAGTGGTGCACCCAATACCTGTATCAGCTGGAACTTTATAAAATAAGTAAGCAATTTTCTGACTTCCAGCTGTCCTTGGCCATTTTGCCTGAACAAATTGAAAAAAATTCTGCTCTCAGGGGAGATTTCCTAGAACAAGAAGTTACTTTTTTTTCTTTTCTTTTTTTTTTTTTTTCAGCATAGAGCAAAACACTCTTTTCCAGCCTAGTAAATTTCTTGCAAGAAAATTGGGTTTTTTAAATGTTTTATAAGAGTACAGAAAACCAGATGTTATGATTGAATGTAATTGTGTTTCATTCCAGAACAATATCTTGAAAAATGTAACTGCCATTTATAACAGTAACTGTGAGCCCAACTTCTGGTCAGAGGTATAGCACAAATGCTGTTAAAGTCTCAGCCAGGAATTCTTTACTTTAAAATTCCTGGAGTACAGCCAGGCTTGTCACTTCCACCCCTCCCCCCTAAAAAATTGCTTCTTAAGACCAAATATATTTAAACAGACGTTATCTTTTCAGACGTCCTAGCTGAAATGCTGATGATATTGAAATTGACCCTAGTGACTAAATTCCCTTCAGTTCAACACAGAGAAGATTTCAGCATATATATTTATAATACATTTCTTCACAGTACCCTCAAAAAATTCCAACCTTTTCCCAGCTGCCTATTGAGCCTACCATAATTTATTACCATACAACTAACCCTTCACGACACACCTTAAAAACCCTCATAGCCACATTCAAAGTCTTTTGAAGATTATGAAAATTTTCAGTTGGTTTCCGAGGGAAACAAGGTTTATACAGCCATGCTGCCTGTTCCTCTGTGTGCTCATTCACATTTATCAATTGCAGCCAAATCTGACGGAAACTAGAGGTCTCATAGGCATTGTATCCATTTGATGTAATACCCTCGAGGTACAAACACACAGTCCAGTGCTACTTCCCCCTGGGGCTTGACAACCTTGTACTTGGCCTGAAACAAGGCACAGTGTGCTCTGGGCCTTACCAGGGGAGTTGAATGGCACGGGACAGGGTGGCACTCTGGGCGTGGTTCCTGGGCACAGGTCGTTTGGGGAAGACGGGAACTCAGTCAGCTGCTGTAGGTTCCACTGACTCTCAGAAAGGGCTGCAACTTGCTATGACAAGAAAAGAATCGCGATGACAGGTGTTTTGGGGCTCTCTATCCATTCCCTCACGGGAACAAAACGTCCCCGTGGAGCCTGAGGGGTTCCACACAGCGTGGACCTCGGGGATGTGACTCAAGGATGAGTGCTGGCTACACGTGCGGGGCGGGGAAACATCGCACGGTGTTCCCTGCCGCTGGGCACCACCACGGCCCTAAAACCTTCCAGAGCGGAATTCCAGCCACAGCCTTTCCAGAGTGGGAGCTCTTGCAGAGCCGTGGGGAAGCGCAGCCAGCAGCTGGTCATAGGCAACCAGGGACAGGACGAGAGAACAGAGCCTCAAGCTGCGCCAGGGGAGCTTTCAGTTGGACATTGGGAGGAATTTCTCCACAGAAAGGGCTTTGGAATGGGCTGCCCAGGTAGGTGGCGGAGTCACCGGAGGTGTTTAAGGAGCTGGACGCGGCACTTAGTGCCATTGTCTAGTTGACAAGATGGTGCTCGGCCACAGGTTGGACTCAGTGATCCCAGAGGTCTTTTCCAACCTAATTGATTCCGTGGGTTCACGCTGCTCTCGCTGCGAGCGGAGCGGCAGCGCTTGGCCCCGCCGAGCCGCCGTCGGGGGCGGGCTGGCTCCGCAGCTATGGCGGCGCCCGTGGTGCCGGAGAGCGACAGGTAGCGGCGCTGCGGCTGCCCCGGGCCGGGCGGGCCGGGCGGGGCAGGGCAGGGCAGGGCAGGGCAGGGCAGGGCAGGGCAGGGCAGGCCCCGCCGCGGCAGGTCCTGCATCCGCGGTGCCGGGGCGCGGCGGAGCGAGGGCCCCTCTGACCACCCCTTCTCCTTCCTCGCAGCATCCGCAGGGCCGTGTCGCTGCTCAACGCCGTGGACTCGGGCCGGTTCCCGCGGCTGCTCTCCCGCCTCCTCCAGAAGCTGCACCTGAAGGTTGGCGGGGCGCGGGGGCCCGCGGGGCCGTGTCCCGCCGGGCGGGGCGGGAGCGGGGCCGGGCCCGGCGGCGCTGGGGCCGCGCGGCTGCGGGCGGAGCCCGATGTTTCCTCGGTTGGATGATTTTAAATCTTAATTTCATTCATCACTAATTTTTTCAGAAGTGTTTCAGGCAGATTAAGTAAGAGCCGGTGACTAGAGGCAGAAAGTGAACGGCCTGAGGGCGAGTGATGCCCATTCATAAGGCGCTGCCTCCTGGCGCCGGTGCCTCAGGGCGCTGTCAGGACACGCCAATTCCTTGGCTTTTGGCACAAACCCCGCTCCTGCCTCGCGAGTGTTGTCCCCAAAAGTCGTATTCGTTACCCGGTGTGCAACAAGCCAACAATTGCACACTCGAGAGAGACACTGATTGTTTATTTCAGAGTTGTGCAAGGGTGGGTACCTGGTGGAATTCCACAAATCAAGCACACTGACTGCCAAAACGTTTTTTCTATTTATGTATTTTAGCAAACAAAGGAATTAGTGTTCGTTTGTTGCAAATTACATAGTAGTCTTATTAGTTCGTATCCTGTCTTCTCTTGGTTAATGGTTCCATCGCTTCTCATGCTAATTAGTCCACATGCTCAGTCTCCCGCTTCTTTTAGGTGGGTGGGTTACTTGGGTCCGTGGCTGTGAGTCGGTGGTCCCGCTCTCCCGTTGCCTTTTACCCAGTCGGAGTGGATTCAGGACAGTTGCTGAGTTGGCTTTGTTATTTTCTTCCTTATCTTTGGAGTTCTGCCAAACGTCCTTGTGGCCCCTAAATTCTTTGTATCCACTATCAGTGATACATCCTTCTTCCCAAGCTTTGTTAACCTCCTCCTAGGTCTGAGATCACTGAAGCATGTGAACCCTAAATCTTAACAACGCAACTCTACCAGCAAGTAATTTGCTTTTGTAACACCTGGACAGCACTTAGAGCTAGTTAGCTGCTCTCTGTTTCATGGATTAAATCTCCGTTCTTGATGTTTAGGCTTCAAAGTATACAAAGATCAAACATCAAAGAACATCCTTTCTTAGGAAAATTTTACATATACCACATTGTACATCATGAGGGAAACACTAAATGCATATTTTTGTTTATTTTTCTGCATTTCTGTATGCCCATCAACCAAAGCCACCTGTGGAACTGAGGTTAAAAGTAAAGTCCTGAGCTTTTAGTGAATATTTTTGTGACCTTTACAGAAGATATTTTTAATTGCAGAATAAATAAAAAAATAATAAAATAAATCAGTAGTCAGTTTCATTGTACAGTGCCAAAATGTCAAATGCAGACTAGGTCTAAACTTTACACTAAATATTGCATGGGAAACTGTAAGATAAATCTTACACCAGAAATACATTTTGTCAGTTTTCTTGTCTTTCAGTGTCAGATTTTGTTAGTTCCCTTGTTTTGTGTCCGGAAAAAGTAGAAAAAGAAATACAGAATTTGTTTTCTATACACATGCTGCAGACTATATGTTAAAATATTACAAATTAGGAGCAACATGGAAACAGTTGTGAATGTATTAAAGGTTATAATTCTGAGAGCATAAGGATTCATTTGATTCAGTTGCTGAGTTTTTTTCCTATCAAAATTCCAGCTTGGATGTTGCTGTTATTGCAGAGTTTTCTCGGTTGTTTTGCATGGATTCTAACTAATTGGTAACTGCAAACTGTCACCAACTTTTTTGTCTGGTTGGTTGGTTGGTTTGTTTGTTCTTTTTTACTACTCCATAGCATTGTAGTACCTCTTCACAGTTTTAATCAACATTTACATGAGGGAAGTGGTCTTTGAAATTTAACTCACTCAGTCTTGTGAGTAGTTCTTCTGACCCTTCTGAAGTATTGAAGTATTTAGGGCTGGTTAAATTGCTGGAAACTTTAAATGAACTTACTTTCCTTAACAAAGCAGACACTCTGTGCTTCCTTCCAACAGCTAATGATGCAAATAATGTTTCCATTTTGATACTCTTGTTACAAGTGTTGCAATCATTGAAATTTTTGTGTAATTGCCTCATTTTTTATTCTGATAGCTGAATTGTTTTTCTTGTGTGGATTTGCAGTTTTGCATTACTAAGTGATCTAAATATGGCGTTTTGTTGTCTGTATTATAGATTTGTTAGTAATTACATTTTAAAAGAAGGCAGTATCTGCATTTAAATTACTGTTTAATTTTCTCTAGTATAATAACTGCTGTATTTTAAAAGTGCAGCACATTTTCAATAGTCTTCAGTAATAGAGTAGTTTATGGACTCAAATCTGATTTTCAAAATAAATATACATTAGGCCTTTATTTCCTTTATATCAGCATGGGTGGTTTGTAGAAGGATATCCATAGTGGAAGAAACATACACAACTAACTTCACTACAGTTTTACCTTCTGTTTTCTCTGGGGCCTGACTTAGGTAATGTGCTTAGTACTTGTCTTATTTTTATTTATAAAAGGTGGTGGGATCTGATAATTGAAAGAAGAATATTTCTTTAGTGTCTCTCAGGTGCAAAGAGAAAGCATTTTCTTCTGCTGTATTTCAAGTAATCCTGTGGTACTCTTGGGTTTTAATTTTGATTTTCAGTAGAGGAATTGCGTTGTATTTTTCTGTTGGAAAAGAGCTTTACTTTGCTATTTCCATTTAGAAACAAGTGGACAACCACTATGTTTTTATTTTAACAAGTAAGTTCTTGGTCCTTAAATGAAATATTGTGACTAACCATTTTTTGTGCTTCAGGCTGAAAGTACCTTCAGTGAAGAGGAGGAAGAAAAACTTCAAATAGCTTTTTCATTGGAAAAGCAGGATCTTCATCTGGTTCTTGAAACTATATCCTTCATTTTAGAACAGGTATTTTGTTTTCATACTTATGCATTGATACATGTGTTTTTCTATTCCACTTTAGATTTCAAAAATATAAAAGTCAAGTTAAAATTAATTAGTGGAAACATATATCTGTAGTATATTATATATGTGTTGGGTTCATGATTTTACTGCTTTTGTTTTCGTGCCTTCCTGATTTGGGTGGGACTAACTGCCTTGGGGCAGTGATTTTCCAGCTAATGTAGATGTTATTGGTAGAAGGGAGGTCTGCACTCCAAGAGAAGTGATGGTAATTATAGGATATACTCTTTCTTATTCATTGTAAACAAGTCAGCCATTTTCTTGCAAGGAAAATACCACATAACATTACTGAGCACTGCTTAAGTTATCTTAAGATTCAGTTATGGAACACTTTGATGCCCAGAAGCAGCCTGTACTGAGGTGAACAGGCACACCTCATGCAGCTCTAGCATTTGGAGGAATGGATGACTGCATGGTGTAGAGCTAAATACCTTGTAAAAAGAGAAGGTTTTCTAGCTCTGCAGCCTTTACTAAGGTTGGGAAGCCATTGTATTACATGGTAAATATGGTAACTGTCTTAAAAATTGTCACGCCCATGATGTTTTCCATCCATTTCCTATAAGTATAGAAACAATAGTCTGTGCTGTGGGAACACATACTGATGGTCTGTTGTGGGATTTGAATCTGGTCCTTTTTTACATATGTCAGTTTATGATCAGTACACTTAGTTAACACATTCCACTGCTTTAGAAGGAAAATAAACAGTCTTCCCCATGGCTTCTACCCACCAAAAAAATGAAAAGGAAACCTGAGATCACCTCCAGACTGGAATTCTGAATTTTCATCTCAGCCAAACATCAGACTGGCCTGTTTATTGCCTGGTCCTTATTTCATATGACTGCTTAATTTATATTAGAATCATTGAAGATGAACAGAAAAAGCCATTATTCTCCTCTAGGACTTGCTTCTTTTGCATTTGAAAAAAAGAGAGTCCCAGGTGGACTACATGTATATGAACACGTGTATGTGTTCCTGCTGATAGCTGTGCTTCATAGATCAGCGGTTTGTTCTGTCAGAGCATAACTTTTTTAGTGGTCCATAGCAGTCTATGGACACACTACAGATAAAAGAACTTCTGTATGGTCTTTGCCACATGTGCTGTTTCTTTTTTTTCTGGTGGTGACAAAGTCCTGTTTTGAAAGGGGAGACCAGCATACTATGCAGAGTGTGAAACACAAAAAATTGATGCTGATAGGGAGTCTTGTTTATTCAGTTTTAGCAAATACTACTTTGTAGTTCAGGCTTGCTCGAATAGTGTGAATTTGGAAAACTTCTCCTTTTTGTACAGTCCCAGGTTTTTTTCAGTGATCACTGCTTTGGCATTACGTACAGTGGAAATCTGTACAAATACTCAGATTTTGCTTGTAAGTGTGTTTTTTCATTGTTTGTCTATGTTGAGAAGAGTTATTTGTAATGTTGCATTTTGAGATAGTTGTACTTTTCTATCTTCCCAGTTAGAAGGTTAAAAAGAACAACAGGATGCTTGCAGTCCCCCAGTGGAGCTGCTGGTAAAAATCCTGCTTGAACATGGTGGCCATCTGTGGTAGAACATATCTGGAGTGACTTGTAGACCAGCACTCAATAACAGCAGTTATTTTTCCTCTTAACAGGCAGTCTATCATAATCTGAAGCCTGCTTCCTTGCAACAGCAGCTACAGAACATTCAGTTGGATCAAGACAAAGCTGAAGCATTTGCTACTGCATGGGCGGCGGCAGGTCAAGATACGATTGAGAAGTTCAGGCAGAGGGTTTTGACCCCCCAGAAGGTAATGTTTTTATTGTTTATTTGTTTTGGTGGTGGTGAGGGTTTTTTGTTTGTTTGGTTTGTTTTGTTTTCCTGAGAGAGAATAAAATTGTATTGGTTTGGTTTTAAGCAAGGAGTTTAAAATACAAAATTTGTAAGAAGCCAGGGTACTTATTAGGGACTTGATAACTGTGATCATGACAGTGGAGTTCCATTGTCATGAAGAGATGTGACATGTTAGCTGAACTGCTGTAACTGCGCCATATATGCACTATTAGCAGTGTAAAGTAATGCAACCAACTTAACTTTTGGAGATCTTTATGAACAGGCCTTCATTAGGGCAAGGGTAAAATGGGGTCATGAACATTTGTGGTGGTTTAGCTCACCAACCAGCCTGTTGATTCTCATTACTTGTATCTGAGCTCTTGCTCTTAATTTTGTGAGCTTGTTGGATGGTGACTTTTGTGAGATACTTGTTACAATTTTGAGATACTTTTCTATGTGGCATGGTAATCTTGCTTCCTGTGCACCCATTACCAGTTAAAACTTGCTACATGCTGTGAAGTCTCATTGTATCTTTAGGCATAGATGTCTACAACTATGAGAAATTATAATAATATCCTTTTGTTGATTAATAATTAGCCTTCAAATGCATAAGGAATTGTGTATAGAATACATCAGTGGCAGCCAAGATCAAATGTTTGGAAAGAATTGTGGAACACTGACTCGCTTTTTCTTTCTTTATTTTTATCATTGCTATATATCTTGTTGGGATAAGATTAATTTTAATACTTTACGATTTTGTTAGTAACATAGAAAAGGAATAGTTGTTCCATCATCTTGCCAGAGAGTGATGTGAGGCTGACTGACCTTTATTTCCTGGGGTCCTACTTCTTACCCTTGAAGATAGGAATGACGTTTGCTTTCCTTAGGAATCTTGATTGATGCATGGTAGGGATGTTTGGATTTCTTTTGTTTGTTCGCATGGGCTTTTCAAGACTGATTTATTCATGCTATATGTATGGTTGATACTGGATTCATAATGAGCCTTTTTTTGGTCAAGTGTGGTTTTGTATGTGATTCAGATTCCAGGAATATGGGAGTTTTGGAACTGGATCAGAAGATCTATTTGTTGGATGCTCTGCCTTCAGCACCTTGGATAAAAGCATAAGGGTGGAATCCTCTAGTTAACCTCTTTGATGGAAACTTATACCTCACATCGTGACTTAGAAGCTGTCTTGCACCCTCAAAGATGATTATTTCTGACTTTTGAAATATCCTACTTACTGAACCTGGAGGTTTCAGTCCGTGTACTTGCCTGATTTCTCATTTTCTACCAGTTGAGGGAAAACTGATATGTGTTGAAGTTTTTTAAAACCAATATATCTATTATCTTTTGATTTTAATGTATATCTCCTTTTTCATTGTGAGAAATACTAAACAAGAGTGTGGTTTTTATTTCAAACAACATAGTGTGAGATTTTTCACTCTCATTCAATGGAAGTTCCCTGTTTCTCATCCTTCAGATTATCTGTCTCTGACATACTTCTACTATATTATGGAAGAAAATAATGTGAATAGGATATAAAATAGACTTACTGGAATATTAATGCTTTTTGTGATGACTTTATTATAAAGGTCTCCCCCTCAGAGGTCAGATCTGGTACCAACATGTCATGACGTGGTGAAATTGTGTCACTATCAGCAATACTGTGGATCCCATCAAGCTAAGTGGTGCAGTTGGTAGGGTAGAGGGAAGGGATGTCATCCAAAAGGACCTTGAGAGGCTTGAGGGGAAGGCCCATGTGAACTTCAGGAGGTTCTTAATGCCAAGTGCAAGGTCCCACTCCTGTGTCAGAGCATCCCCTGGTATCAGCACAGGCTGGAGAAGTGAATGTAATGAGTGCAGCCCTGAAAAAAAAAACTTGGAGGTGCTGGTGAGGGAAAATTCTGATGTGAGCCAACCATGTGCACTTGCAGCCCAGAAATCCAATTGTATTCTGGGCTGTATAAAAAGAAGTGTGGCCAGCAGGTTGAAGGAGATGATTCTGCTCCCTGCTTCTCTCACCTGGAGTATTAAATCCAGCTATGGGACCCCTAGCACAAGACAGAGAAGGACCTATTGGAACAGGTCCATGGGAGGGCCATTAAAGTCATACAAGGGCACGAACAGCTTTGCTGTGAAGACAGACTGAGGGAGTCAGGATTGTTCAACCTGGAGAAAAGAAGGCTCCAGAGAGACATTATTGTAGCCATTCAGTACTCTAAAGGGGTTACAATAATCAAAAGGGGGCTTACAGGAAAGATGGAGAGAGACTTTTTACTGGGACATGTAGTGACAGGACAAGGGACAGCAGTTTTAATCTGAAGGAGGAGTTTTCTGTGGCATATTGGACACTAATTCTTTGAGAAAAACTGTTCTTTTTTGAATGTAAGTCTTTTTTGTGCACAATGCTTAATAGATAGGGATGTTATTGACTTGAGAAATGAATAAAAACTGTAGAGTTAAACAAAAATTCAACAGTTTAATACTATGTTTTCCCACCTCATCTTTTCATTTTTCTCTGAGCTATTGGCAGTCTTCAGCTGCACAAGGTTATTAATTATGTATATTCTGCTGTTGTGTTAATTGGTTCTTTGAATCCTTATTCATATGGCAATCCCTTTATGATATTATTTCTACTGTATAATACAGTCCTAGTCAATCAGAGTGATGGTATTTGTATTTTTTTTTCCTTTGAACACATTCTTAATTTGGCCTCTATAATGACAGGCCAGTGATAATAGTCAGATGTGAATCTGATCCAGTTTTTAAGTCTTTGATTGGTAATATATCAGTTTAGAAATGAGGACCCATTGATTAGATGACAATGTATTTTCTCCTCTCTGCATAGAAGAGATAGACTTTTAGTAGGGTTCACTCTGAATTCTTACAGCAATTTTTCATCAATTCTGTTGCTTTTCTCCACTTCCCTATGCCCCTATATTATGTTTGCTGTATTTTTTTTTTAGTATGCTTTGCAAATCTCTGTGTTAAAAGCAGATCCAACTAAATACCTCATACCTTTCTTGTTTTGGAAAACTATTCAGAGTATCCTTAAAATATGTATCATGACAAAGATAAGAGTCCTATGTTGCCAAGCAGGAGAAGTTTTTTATAGCTTTCAGACAGCATTTCTTAATATAATGATGCGTGGGAATGCAACTAGTGAAATTATGTACCTAAAATTCTTGACAGAGCTGTCAATTCTGTATATTGAGTGCCTGTTTGAAGCCAAATGGGAAAAACTCTAAAAGTAGTTTTCTCAGAAACTGGCTTTCTTGCTAATGGGTGTATACATGATGTTAATGTGCTAAATTCCCTTTGCTAAAGGCTGTAAAGTCTACAGAAATACTCTGAAACACTTGCATACTGTGGTGGTTATGACAAAGAGAACTGATGTGCTCTGTGTGTGTGTCATGGCGGAAAGAATGCAAATTAGGAGGAATACAGCTCAAACAGAAAGAGTATCAGTTTCTTCTTAGTGTCTGATCAACCAGTCATTCCTGTAGTGACAAGCAGAGGTCACAAATAGTGTTGTACCTATGGGCATTGTCACGATGAACTGTGAACCCACTTACGTTATATGAGACCATCACAGAGAGAGGCAAAGACAATGCAAATGATTAAATATATGGTAAAGACACTGCTTTGTACCTATTGAGCTTTATTTTAGTAGCCAGCTACAGCACAATTGCATCTTATTCTTTCACTCAGCTTTGTAAGTAGGAATTTTAATTGTTTACAGTTTTTTGGTATTACTTCTTGAGGATTTTTTAATGAGTTTCTTCCTCTCCTTGCCCTTTTCTGTCTCCTATGAAGAAAGTGTAAATGAAAAAGGCTGAAATAAGTTTTTGAGCATGTTTTAAAAATCTGAAACCTTTGTTCTGTTCCTGCATGCAAAATAGCATCTTTTAAAGTTGTAAAAGAGCACCATGCTTATCTTGTGTAACTTCCTGTGTAATACAAAGTATAATTTTTCCTCAGTATGTAAAAGAGCTTTTGGAAGAGGGGTCTGGTTGCGATTTTAAGGCTTGAAATGGCAGGTAATTTCTGGGGTCTTTTTTATATTTAATGAAAATGTCTGCCTTATCTGTAATAGAAATCTGTCTAGCCTTCCTACCTTGCCATATATTCTTCTGCTATGATTTGATAAAAGTGGTCATGGTGTGCATTTTTACTGCAGATCTGAGCCAACAAATTTCCCAGAGACAGAACACACCACCACATTTACCTTTTGTACAAAGGGAATCCTGAGATACTGGGGTTTCGGGAAACTTGAAAGCTGTTTGTAATGTTTGTTATACAGTCTCTTTCTATTTGCTTTCAAGCTAGCTGCTTATCAGTAAAAATCAGGTAAAGATGAAAACTTGCAGTAATTTCAATTAGGGAAAATTCTTTTGAAGTTGCTGTGTAGCACTAGTCTTGCTCTACCAATTTCATGTCATATTATTTCTTTTGTTTCCTCCCTTTTGAAGTACACTGGTACTTTTTGGTGTCTGTCTCTTTCTTTTCTTAAATTCAAAGATTAAGAGATGAACAGTTTTGCTTTGAATATTGAGCAAAGAAGTCTGAAAATATCACTTTTCTTGGCATAAGTGCTAAGAAAGGTTTGCTGAAGGGAAAAGGATTTTATCCTTGAAGACAAAAATGGGAATTCAGAGGAAATTACCCCTCCAGGAGAGAGGCAACTGTGGATGAAGCATCTTGTTAGTCAGCAGTTAAGGTGGATTTAGGTACGTAATTTGTGCATGTTTTCCTTGTAGATTAAAATCTCACTCTCTTTTTTTTTTTTTATTTTTAATATGCTTTTAGTATATTTTCTGAATGGTAACTGAGGTATTTACTCTTTGGCTTGCTCCTGTTGCTTTTTCTAGCACTAAGTATAAGCTGAAAATCCCAGTTTACAAAGTTAAAACACTTACTACTCTTAATTTTAATATTTTTTCCTGCCTCCTAAAGCTACTGGTATCACTAGAAAA